GTGAACAATCAGTTGACAGTTGATTTTTATCAAAAAATGATCAAAGTATAAAAAAAATAATCATCCAGAGTGAAATGAAAGATTGTAGCGCTTCATATTTGATTTGAAAAGTCAGCATTTTTAAAGAACTGCTAGCATAATTTGAATTATTAGAGATTAGCCAGGTTTATAATGAACATTTTCTCCATCATTTTGAGAGAAAACTAAAGAACGTGCCTTCAAATGTGATCATGCGGTTTTTGATGCTAATACAATGTCAAAAACAGGGTTCAAATTTGGCTTAAATTTATAATGTAAATGTGTTTAAGAAGGTTTCATGAGCCAATAAAAATTTATTAACAGAAGTATTTTTTGTTTATTTTACTGTCTTTGACCAAGTTTTTCACTTTCTGTTAGCACTACTTTTGCAGTAGTTTATTCCATAGGAAATGTTGATTTACTGACGCTATGCATAAATCGATTCGAAACAAGCTTTATGGTTACCATGACAATGGTACATGTACTAACAAAGCAATTATAAAAAAGTGTTGGTATAACACACGTATAACCATTATTTTGAAATTAGTGACCGAATATCACAGTAATTGGTAACATTTTGGGTATAAGTAGCGAAAAACTAACAAGATCTAAACTAAAGCTACCACAAATCCTTAACCAGTTAAGCAATAAGACTAAACTTTTATCTTTGGTGTGGCCATAGGCTACATTTGCGTCTATTTTTAACAAATTAACAATAATGGTTCTTATTCCAAAGGTGATTTTATTTGCACACTATAAAGTTAAACCTTCACTCAATTTGGACAATCAAATTTTTTTCCTCTAACAAAATTAAAAGATTTCAAAATTTGCATCACTGCATACCTGGATAAGTGTGCGCTATATGTCCATATAAGTGGCGTTTTGGCTTAACTAGTTTGGCATTATTAGGATCCATGATAACTGTGCTTTGCTTAAATTGGCATTTAGTCTATTACCTAAATCTAACTTTACTAAATTAAACTCTTCCTTTAACGAAATTTAACCTAAATTTATAATCGATAATAACCTACTTAACATACTTACAAATATTATTAATTAAAAACAATTCAAGTCACTTGAATTTCAAAAAAATATTTTTTGAATAATTCTTTCCCAACAAGAAAATGATTATTTAAATTAATGATAATTGTCACACTTAATAAAAATTTAATTGAGATCTTATTTGTTGACACAATCCAAAAAACGGTTTTTACTGCTCTTCAAAAAACTATTCTGACTTTCATAACATCTTTTTTGATAGAGACTTTTTTCTTTTAATAGAGAATTTTTTTTGGGGCCTCTGCAATTATTTTGATCAAACTTTTACAAATTTTGTTTCAAAACAACCCTTTTTTTTTAAATTAATTTTCTTCGGACTAGGGAGGGACTGTTGAACTGGGCAAACCACGCATTAAATAGCAAACCAATATTTTGGTCTATGAAATGAAAATGGTACTTGTACCAACAAAAAAAATATTGTAAAAATTGTTGGTGTTACATAGTAGAACACTAATCTAACCATCATTTTGAAAATAGTAGCCAAATATCAGAGTAATCAGTAACGCTTTGAGAATTAAGTAGTAAAGAAATATCAAAACTTAAGCTACCATAAATCCCTAACTCTTTAACCAATCAGATTGAAATTTTATTGAGTTTAATGTGGCCGTAGTCTACATAGAAGTCATATATATAAATATAAAAGCAAACAAACATATAATATATATATTATTATTAAAATGAGGTATATTATAGTCTGAAGGTAAAAAGTAATATATATATATATATATATATATATATATATATATATATATATATATATATATATATATATATATATATATATATATATATATATATATGTATTTATATTTATATATATGTATATATACACTTAATATATTATTGATTTAACCCAATGATATATTAAAAATAAGTAAATGTCTAACTTACGCGTATTTTGTGAAGGAAAAATCGGCCATTATAGGGGTTGTTTGGATCAAATAATATTCATTATTTAATAATCAAATATTATAAATCATGATTAATTCTTGTGCTGCAGCAGGTTGCACAAATAGAGCAATGAAAAACGAAAACAGAGCATTTTATAAGTTTCCAATTAATAATAGCGAATTTTTTAAAAAGTGGATCGTTGATAAAAAACGTGAAACATTTATTCCTATTGAGCACAGCCGCATATGTAGTGATCACTTTTTACCTTCAGACTATAATATACCCGATTTTAATAATAAATCAAAATTAAAACCTTTTTCTGTGTCATCTATTATCATTGATTCAAAACCAAAAGTCAAAAGAAAGTTTATATATATTGCCACAAACAAATAAAAACTCATTAAAAAAGTTAAATTTTTAGAAACTTCTTCTGTAGATTGTATACCTGATTTTTTTGTGGATGTTTTAAGTTATATTAGTGAAAGTAAAAGCAGAGACAAAGTATCAATTGAAAAAATTACTTCTTTAAGTTTTCTCTTAAATAAAAAATAACTCCACTCATGCGGAAAATCAAAATTTTTTAACACAATATTGTTCCATAAAAAAGCTCCACGAAATGAAACACAAGTTTTATCAAAGTTTGTTTGGATAATTGGCTGTTTAATAGAATTAAAAGTTCTCAAAGAATAAATTTTTTTTTCTTTAAAAAAATACATTAATTATAAAAATTGTGCGTTAGTTATAGATGCAAAGGCAATCAAAACAGTTCTGAACAATAAAAGGACAGTTCGATTCATTGGCTTTACAGGTTATGGAAAAAATATTGTTGCAATAGAGCACGATACACCAGCTGCAAAAGCATTGGTATTTATGCAATAAATACCACTATCACAGTATATAGCCAATAGGTGTTTTTCAATATTGAAAAACACCTAATATAATAAGAGCCGAAAACCTTTCATGTCTTATTAAAAAAACATTAACAATTTCTTCTGATAAAAAAATTAATGTACGTAGCATTACATTTGATGGTGTAAATGTCAAATTTAATTCTGTTGCATCACTAGGATGTACATTTGGGAAAAGACTAGAAAAAATTAATGAAATATTTACTTTTGAAGGCTATAGTTACTACTTGTATGTAATCCCTGACCTAAGTCATATGCTAAAATTAGCTGGAAATGTGTTATATGATTTAGAGGTAAATCATAAGGATTGTAATGGAAAATAGATTAAATGGAGTTGAATATAAGCTCTATATGAAATACAAGAAGAGAGAAGAATAAAATTTGCAAAGAAAATCTCAATAAAACATAATTATTTCTAAAGTCACAAAATAAATGTCATGTTTGCTGCACAAACTCATAGTAGTTCAGTTGCATATGCAATTGAATTTCTTATGTTATCCAAACATCCAAATTTCAAGCATACTGAAGGAACTATAAATTTTATAACGGTCATTGACAAATTATTCGATATGCTGAATTCTAAAAACCTTTAGTCAAAATTATATAAGAAGCTCTTTTTTTAAATGACTTACTTTATTGGAATGCAACTTTGATCAAATAATAAACTATTTTTCAAAGTTAACAAATGCTAATAGTAATTCATTATTGAAACATAGGAGAAAAATCTTTGTATTAGGGTTAATTGTGTCTGCAAAAAGTTTTTAACACTTAGTCTATGAGCTTTTGACTTTAAATGTTTATCTTTTTAAATTTTGCTTAACATAAAAATTTTCTCAGGATTATTAGAGTTACTGTTCTCTTGTATTCATGGAATGAGTTGATTTAATAACAATCCAGATGTTATCCAACTTAAGTTATCTTTAAAAAGAATTATTTTTATACAGTTCTATTGTAGGCTAAAAGCATGCAAATTGTTTAACATTTAAGGATAATGCAAACATATAAATGCAAAAGCCCTAATTTTGTATTAAAGTGGAGTAAAAAATCTATTCAAATCCTGATAAACTTTTATATTGATATTGTTGCAATTCAAAATTATCTTGATAATACCTCTATCTACAAAGAAGTAATACTAGGATATCTGGATTCATTTTAAGAAGATTATTATCAAAGATAACATGTTCTGTGTGTGCAAAACCACATATATCCCCAAACAAATTTGTGGAACATTCTTATGGAACATTAGTTCTTTGATTGATTAATGTAAAAAATAGAGGTGCATTCCGCACAACTAATAAAAATGTTAGCAAGTGACTTTTTTACAATCAGACTGCCAATTATATACAGAAAGTTTTAAAAAAATCAATGATCGCTATTTGTCAACAATCAAATAAATTAATTATATTCAAAGGTTTATAACATAAGTGTAAAATAAACAATTTAAAATGATATAATTCAATTTTAAATTTCAGTATGTATATATATATATATATATATATATATATATATATATATATATATATATATATATATATATATATATATATATATATATATATATATATACATATATATATATACTGAAAAAAAATTATTTCTTAGAGGTGAGGGTATTCCCTTATTTTTACTGTATATCTATCATTCATATCCCAAAATCTTACAATAACAACAAAAAATAATTACACTGATTGCTGGCAGTTTTATTAAATGCCAAACAGGTAGTACAGTCTTTTACAAATAAAACACTTATTATTAAATGTGATATAGTACAGTCGGTACTGTTCCATCCCTGTGTTAAAGCCGATGTCGGGCCGAGTTCAGCTGCCGATATCGGACCGACGGCATTTTTGTACATATGGAATGAGGTTGGCCCGACATCGGCTAGCCGCTAAAACTGTCGCAATGCATCGACTGGCCGGTGTTGAACCGACGCGATTCCAATCAAATCATCGGCTAGCCAATTTCAAAAACAATGGCGGTCCGATGTCGACAGCCGAGCTAAGCCCGAAGATTAAAATAAGCTACAAATGCTCGGCCAGCCGATGCAAATTTTAACACACTAATTTAAGTTGGAAAAAAGGGAAAATAGGATTAAGTAACTAAAGTATATGTAAAACACAAATATAAAATAAAATTATATATTTCTTTTAAATAAATTATTCTAAATAAGTTGAATCATCAAATAAATTGAATCGGGTGAAATTCCAACGTTTTTTATTAATTGATAATTTACTGTGTACAGCATCTAAAAAAAAGTATAAACTAAATTTTCACATATATTTAAAAGCAATATAACATCACAATCACAATCAAACAATCACAACATAGATAGGTTACTGACTAGGTATACATACTAATGTATACATACCGATTTGAAGTGTATAGACTTCCAGACAGTAATCAAATTTCAACTTTTAACTTCAGAGAACGAAAAAACTAATTTATATTTATAATATAAAAAGTATTATATTTCTAATTCAATAAAAATTTACTTAGGCATTTTGAATCTGGATGTGTACCTTTAAAATCATTTACATTTTTGGCATTATTTATTTCGTTGCATTCAACAGCCTCTATAAAAATTAACATGTTATATAAAACACGCTAAAGCTTGGGCCATATTATTTACATACATATATATAGTATTTAATACATATATACATTTATATAATATTTAAAAATACTATTAATAATAATAACAATAATAATAATAATAATAATAATAATAATAATAATAATAATAATAATAATAATAATAATAATATATATATATATATATATATATATATATATATATATATATATATATATATATATATATATATATATATATATATAAATACTATTAATAATAATAACAATAATAATAATAATAATAATAATAATAATAATAATAATAATAATAATAATAATAATAATAATAATAATAATAATAATAATAATATATATATATATATATATATATATATATATATATATATATATATATATATATATATATACACATATAAAATAAGCTACATTTACTTTAGATAAAATCTTAACTTTTATATAAAAGTTAATACTTTTTAAGTTAGTTACTTTTAAACTTAGGTTATATATCTATAATAAATATCGCTTATTTTATGTAGTTTTAGTAGTTACTAAATGTTTAAGTTTCAATATTATTTATTTATTACATATAAATAGCGTAAGCGGCCGTCCATAAAATCCATTTATGACCTCTCTGCCCTTGTGTGATACCGCCTTTGTTTCTTTTTCCCCTTGTTATGTTGACCTCCTCTTTCTCCCTTTTGCATAACATTATTTATACATGTAATATTTGCAACCTAAAGCTTATTAAATTCTTAAAAATAATTGTTCTAAACAAAAACTTTTATGTTTAGCTTAAATAAAGTAACATACGCTACTTTAGTCACACAGGCACGTAGAAACCGGGTGGGCAGCAGAGGCATTTGCCTCATCCCCCCTCCAAATAATTTTTCAAATGAATCATTATGAAGAAATTGACTAAAAAAATGACTTAAAAAAAAAAGGTCCTTAAAACTATTTGGAGGGTAATACTGCCCCCCCTTCCCTTCAATATAATTTTTGTTCGTACGGCCCTGTTTCACCCATTGTGAAATTCTTCTATTTTAAAAATTTCTAAAATTCCAACAAAGAGACGCCATTTTAAACCATTCGCTTAAGTTCAGAGAAACTGGATAAACTCAAACATAAGTAATATTTAAGAATGTCGGTCACGACAACAGTTAGGGAGACATCACTAGGGGAGGGGGGCATCTCTAGAAACCTAGTCCCCTCTTATTCTTTTAAAATATTTAACATATCCGGTATATCCGGCCGGATGTATAAATGTATATCCGTTTATATAAAAACTTTCGGTACTCTATCCACGGCCAAATTTTTATAACTATTCAAATAAAATTAAAATAACTATTTGTAAATAAAAAATAAAGTTATTATTTATAAATACCAATTAATATTATTAAATAATATCAATTTAACAGGTAAATGAATTAAATTTCCTATGCATTAGGAAAATTAATTCGTTTCTAAAAATTTTGATAACTCAGAATTAGTTCTTTGCTTTTCAAAAAGATAGGTTTGCTGCCAATTTTTAAAAATTAATAGAAAAGTTTATTATTCGGTTATTTATATAATGCATCATTATAATAAAAAACAGAACCAAATTAACTGATCGTCGTCTGTACATCGGCTGAACGTCGGCTAAATGTCTGTTTCCCTATTCAACAACCAACAGACACAAAACCGACGTTCAACTAATATTGTTTTGCTAAAAACAGAGTAGCCGATGTTTAACCGATGGAATAAGGTCGGCCCGAGCTCGGCCTACCATCGGAATCAACACAGGGATAAGTAAACTTTACTATGAAGACAGTCTCTACACTGAAATGTTCAAAATGTCAGTTATTTGAAACAGTATCAATAACACTCTTTTTTGTTGTTTAATTTGGCACAGCTTTACAACTTGCTTCAACAACTTGCAGGAGAAAGTGCATTTCTTCCTCGTCATTGGTTATGAGTTTGTTGAATTCTTTAAACTGCTTGACGCCTCCTTCAGCTGTGCCATTGACAACTCGAAGTTGAAGAATGCGCTCTTTTCCTTCTAAATAGACCTGGTTCTTGCTCCATGTGTCAGGTTGATTACTGAGAAAAGAGGCTCTAATATTTTAGTTGCTTTGAATCATTGATGTTCTGGCACTTACAAAATCTCCGAGGCTTGATTTGTCCCTAGGAATGATTTTCATGGCTTTTTTATCCTGACGTGTTAAACACTAAAGTTTGAGTGGTAGGTTTATCATTCCCGCTACAATCTTAACCTTTTCACAAGCTGCAGTTTTGTCAGAAAAGAGAACCAGGCCAACAGTATTGTCCGCAAGATACCACAAGTGATTTTCGAACACTTTTCTTGCTGCTAATCTCACAATGGATGGCTTGGTATTTTCTGACATTATTCCAGAATGCAAGATCTTTACCTGTCGCATCAGCTGGAAGTGATGTTGCTGTCCACATTTTGTATGCAGAAGGGCTCCTAAACGCTCAAACCGAAACATCTGGTTTTCCTCCTTATTTGTTAAGTTGAAGACATCTTGTTGATCACGGAAGAGAAGGATTTTTATGGTATATAAAAGCTTCGCCATCCAACCGCATGGTGAACAGGTCCTGGATCTTGTCAGTGGATAAGTTCCGGTGGATAACCAAGGGCAATTAATGTTAGCTCAACAAGTTCTCTATTGTCGTTTTGAATTTGTGATTCTGTCATTTGAACAAGAAAACTGACAGTTGCTTCACAAAAGATTTCAGTCTCTGCTTTGATCTACAATCAACGATAATTATTGTGCCTGACTCCTGCCCAAACCGCTTTAAATCTCTTGAAGATGGTTATGTCTGGAAAACTTCACGGTCCAAAGCATAAGGCAAAAATGTTTGCCAAGACCAGCTCCATTATGTGATAATGACACGCTAACCATAACAGTTCTCTGACTAACATTTGTTCAAGAAGTACACAAACACCTTCCAAATGTCTTGTATTCACAGCTGTGGTGTCAAAACTCATTGTCTGTAATTTATACCTGCAACAGATCATAAACAGTTTGATCTCATTTTGTGCTGTTCCAGCTGCTAATTTTTGCACACCAAGCAGTTTATCGGCACTGTTACTGGATACAAGCACTGGCAAGCGATCAACTTGTCCGATACAATACCAAAGGATAATCTGGCACAAAACTGTCCATTGCAAATTTGGCATGTTGTTTTCTGACTTTCTTTTGAACCCTTTGTATGGTAGTTTGTGAAAGAGGAAGCAAAGATGGATCAAAACCTAGCGCGGCCGGAATTGGAACCATTAGACGTAGGGACTCACAATCAGATGTTTTATTTCTGTCTAGGGCATGTGGTGTTAAGAACTCTGATGTTTCTACATTATTGCTCTTTGGTATTGTCAGTGTTACCAAATTTCGTTGCGATGACTGATATTCAGAACCAGATTTGTGCTGTTAGTACTCTCATAGTCGTCCGCCATGTATATATCTGAAACTACAGAATGTGCTGATGTAGTGGCAACTGCAAAGTTAGCCTTCTTTCGCCGTGCTACCTCTTTTTTTTGTCTCTGGATAACACGTTCTTGCTTCTTTTCCAATAAATTGTCTTCACCTTCTATAAACATTTTATGTTTGTTCTGTTGGTCTAGGAGGAAATCTGCATCTTTAATTTTAATCATCTGAAGTGCTTCAGCGTGCGCAATGTTAAAGAGTTTTTCAAAACTGTTTGAAAATGCTGACTCTCTCTGTTTTTGAGATTCTGATAAACATTTCTTGTTCTTCTTCAACAATAACCAGCAGCCATGTAAATCTTCAAGTCAATCAATCACATTTCTCAGAGAAGCAGCCCTGGTCCAAAGCAGCAACACTCCCAGCTAGTACACGTGCGTTGTAAAAACATTAAAACAATGTCGCGCGTTTTGTTGGCCCAACATCGGCTGCCAACGTTGTTTTTATATCATTATAGTTAGAAATGCGACGTCGCCAACAACTAAAAACCAACCTTGATAAAACGTTTATTTAAAGTCGGAAAATAGATATATTTTCTACGTTGATTCAACGTTTTTTTTTTATAAGTTGGCCTAACGTTGTATTTACGTTGATTTAACGTTAAACTTTAACTGGCAAAAGGTTGTATTCAATGTTATTCGGAATTAAATTCTATTTTCTTTATATATATATATATATATATATATATATATATATATATATATATATATATATATATATATATATATATATATATATTTTTTTTTTTTTTTTTTTTTTTTTTTTTTTTATACATACAATTTACTTAAAGTTATTAAGGTGTTTTTCCTCATAAAATGTATCAAATGGAAAACGCATATCGACTATATTGGTACAAAACTTTCTGAAAATATTAGAACTTCATATAAAACGAGAACACATTTATATAAAAAAAGTCTAATTCAACTTTGTTACTCATTAATTCATAGTTATTAAAACTATGCTAATGTTGCATGGGAAAGCACTAAAAAAAGTAAGTTGAAATGCCTTTATCGCCGTCAGAAACATGCAATCCATTTAATAAATTTTGCGGATCGATACACTCATTTCAAATCATTTTTTATTGAAATGAAAGTTCTCAATATTTATGAGGTTAATTTTTTTAATGTTTTGTGTTTATGTACATTTGGAAAAATGACATATCTTTACGAATTTTTAAAGATCTCTTTTGTTTGAAACTAATAAATTAATATACACTTAGATATAATAATATTATATATGAGCCCTTTTGTTGAACCAAGTTTATTCAGCTTTGTATTGCATATGGTGCACCCCTTTGGAATAATATTATTTTGTCCAAATTCGATAAGCATTTTACTTTTCCCATTTTCAAATATAAACTAAAAAATGTAACCATTTTAATGGAAGATGTAGTCAGGTTTTTTTAATTGTAATTTTATATTTTCTCTGGAACTTTTATTGTTAATTACGTTTTTTTTGTTTTGATGCAGGGTAATGATGGTATACCGGTAGTATTTTCATAAATATTGGTTGTGGCGAAAAGTGATTAAACCTACATATCTATACTAATGTATACATGTCTTCATAAAAACAACATATTTGTTAGTGAAGTAAAAAAGATTTTTAACTTCACTAAAAATTTTGTGTTTCAAACAACACATAAAACGCAGTATCTCTTATGCGCATGCGCAAAATTCTGCACTTTATTGCTTTAAAAGGGTTAACTATGATGATTACATATAATTTCTGGCATTTTTGAGGGAGGACTCTAAGGTCAAATGAAATTGTTAAATTACCATTGATGTTAACCAGCCCCATCCTTTTCTAGAGAGGAGGATGGCATAGGTATGTCATCATAAGAGCAGTAGTTACCTATAATGGCATACTTGGGCTTTTTTTTTTAAAATAAGAATAGCTAATAAAAAAATAAAACTGATAAAAACTCACAGAGTTACTATTGTTCGAAATGTAACAAAGAAGTATCCATATCAAAACCTTTGTTCTTGGTCTTCAGGAAACTGAATAATGAAGCTTCAAATTAAGTATGCCATCATAGACGCCTTTCCCCTAGTTTATAAACACACGCTTATAAAGCTTCTGATGATAAGATCAGTACGATCTTCTTTCAAATACTTTGTTTATATTTCTGAAAATGATTTATTTACTATGACAACAAATGTAAACTTTAAAAAAAAAAATTATTTTTTTATTTATAAATAAAAAAACTTTATGGCATTTAAATATTGATCTACCATTATTAGCTTTAACTTGGTTATCCATATTGCATACTAGTAAATTAGGCATCAAATATAAAATAATCGTTTTAAATACAAACAAAACTTAGTATTGACATTCCTGAAAAGACATTCTCTGTTTAATTTTAAAATAAACAAAAGTTTTATAAAATCAAACTCGAAATGCTATCCAGCTAAAAGTTATTTAAATAATACGGAAATTTAGTTAAGCGCATAAATTTACATATTTCCGTTCAAAACTTACTTATTTTAAAATAAATTACACATACTTAATAGTTTGCAGGAATGTATCATTTTTTAATTATTTTTGTAATTATTTTTAATTAAAATAGTTATTTACTTCATTGTTTTTGCTTTCTCTTAATTTTATTCATTTTTCCGACATTATTATAATCGATTAAAAAATGTAAATAATTAAATAAAACAATATTTTACTTGTTTTTCGCTTTTTCCTTTTTTTTTTTATTATTATTTTTATCTATTGTTTGTTTATTTTCTAGACCAGAAAAAAAATGGCTACATATGGGATATATCAAACTGCTTTACATCTTTCTGATGCGGAATTCTTATACAAATCACTTATGCAAATATACAAGGAGATCTTCTGTGAAACAGATAATCTAAAACAAACGAACCTCAAGTGCAAGAAAAACCACAAACATAATTTTATCAAATTATTAAAGAGACGAGTATCAAGAAAAAAAAGTGCCGGGAGCTATCGTCGAAAAATCTTTAACTCAGACGATGAAACTTACCAATAATTTAAATGTCTAAGACTTTTTAATAAATATTCTATTTTTTTCGTTTTAGAAAAAAAAATTATTAAATAGTTCAGATTTTAAAAATACTACTAATTTTTATATATATAATTTTTATATGCATATTGGAGACTACATTCTAATAACAATTTATTATTAATTGTATTGTTACTTATAATAATGACAGCAATGTAACTTATACTTTCAAGTATAAGAAGACATTTCTTTTCATAATATTGTTCTTTTTATAATAAATTTTTAAATAAAATAATGTAAATTGCAAATACTATAAATTTATTTATTGACATTGTTATGTGTTTCTATAAAAATAAGTAAAAAAGAAATAAAAATCCAAAATATCCATACAAGAGAAAATAGGGATATTAACTTACTTTTTAGTGAGATCGTTTAGTAAAAGCTTCAAATTATTTGTTGTAAGCAAAAAACGAAACCTGCTTTTAAAAAGACGAGACTGAAAATAAAAAATAAAAATTGGGATAAAAGAGAAAGGAATTATTTGCAAATATTTTTGTCTTGGCTTTTAGAAGCCAAAACAAAAACATTATAAGCTGATTAGAAGCTGTGAGTTCCAATAATAATGAAATGTGTGAGTTCCAATAATAATGAAACTTCTTACAAATTCTTTTAACAATGGACAACAATTGGTGGTTGGTATTTATAGTTAAAAACTGTTAAACCAAGCTGCTTATCAAATAATTTGATTTCTGTTTTTCTGTCTACCCAGGAAATAAAGTTTTGTAGAATTTCTATTAACTTTCGAAACGTATGGCCTATAGAAATTCTATAGAATTTTTATAGAATGTCTATTAGTTTCTATAGAAATTACTACAACTTTTTCTTCTATAGAAAAAAAAAGTAGAAAAAAAGTTCTATAGTAATTAACAGATTCATTCTAAAATTCTATAGAATTTAATAAAATTTCTATGACCATATGATTCAAAAGTTTATAGAAATGCTATAGAGCTTTTTTTGCTGGGTATCTATGATTGTTAGTAACTAACTTTGTAAATAACAGAAATAAAATTCTCAGTTGTAAAACTGATTTCCTAGTAATAAAAATCTTGCTTCGCAGTAATTAATCCGATTCTCAGTAGGAAAAAACGGCTTTTTTAAAATAAATGTAATAAAATTTTCTAAAAATGTTTAAAGAACAATATTTGTTAAAAAAATAATAAAATAAACAATTAACTTCCCAATTTTAAATTCTAATCCAGCAGTCCAAAGTATAAAAGAAATCAACAAAGTTGAGTTTAAAATAGCATTCAACAAAGCGGTAAGCGTCCATTATTTGAGACTTACAAGAAAATAAACAGCCTTAAGACTGTTGACGGAAGACTTAAAAAGCTGTAAACTTTTTGAGTCAGGAAAACATGAAGATGCGAGAGAATTCGAAAAGTAAAGACTTTGATTAAAAAATTAGATAGTGACATTTTAAACTAAATTGTAAAGGACATTAAATTAAAAAAAAAGTTCAACCTAGTCGCAAGACGAGTCACACAAGACTGTGTTTTGGTTGGTCGATGAGAGATTATTTCTCTCTGAGTAACAAACAAGTTCGTTTTTATGGAAATAAAAAAGATATGCAATCATACAATAATCGGACAGTGGCTGAAGGTTAGCAGCTGAAGCAGGTCTAAAATTATTCAAAATATTACAATTACGTATTAAAGAGAAAAGATAAAAGAATAACTGGCCAAAATACAACAGAAATATTTTATAGAGGTAAAGAATATATTCTGGAGTAAGAAAATGGTAAGCACCATTAAAATAATAAGTCATATTAGATTTTAACTTAATAACGGATTAGATAAATGGTTTCTATGAGAGATAAGTAGTGAACAATAATTCGAAAATATGTAAAGTAAACGACCATGCAAGAGTGTTGTCGATCATAACGGTAGAAACATTGGTAAATTAAAATTAGTTATTAATCAACTGAATTTTGCTTGGCTTAAATCTGAGTAACAACTATTGCAATCCATAAAATAAACATACCCAGTGGGCACCGGACCAAAAAAAGACGTCTTTTGAACGTTTAGAAGACGTCCAAAACGTTTAAAAAACGTTCAAAAGACGTCCAAAACGTTTAGAAGACGTTTTAAATACGTCTTTTTTACATCCGTGCCCACTGGGTATTACAATTAAAATATATATCATGTTGTTAAAAGTTATGTTGCTTTTAAAGCGTTACGATAAAATTCTTATAAATAAAAGTTTTAAATAATTTTTTTTTATTAACAATTTAAGTGAATACTTAACTATAAATATTTATGTTAAAAAGTTTAGGTTGAGCACACCCCAGTAAACACCGGACCAAAAAAAGACGTCTTTTGAACGTTCAAAAGACATCCGAAACGTTCAAAAGACAGTCAAAAGACGTCCAAAACGTGTATAAGACGTTTAAAAGACGTCTTTTTTACGTCCGTGTTTGTTAAGCACTGTCAGTTTGGGCAGACAGTCAGACAGTTGACTCTCTATATCTCAGCTACTAAATATCTTGAACTTTTGTATATCTCGAACTTTATTTCTGGTCCCTTGCGCACTCGTTTGAGCCAAAACTTCTTGATATCTTGAACTTTTTTCTCGGTTCCCTGAGAGTTCGAGATATTGAGAATCAACTGTATTTATTTTAAACATTTTTTCTGAGTTAGTCTCCGAAAGTCTAGAATTAAAATAATAATAAAATTATTCTAGTAGAAACCAGCTTTCAGTAGTATTAAAATAATTACAAAATTAGTGTAATAGATAATTTTTATATATTACAAATAAATTTAATCAATTAAATCAAAAACATCATTACAAATAGGGTTCGTTAAGACTATTAAGTTATTTTTTGATTCTTTTCTCTTTGTTTTTTAATAAGAAAAGGACGTTTTTCCTTCATATTAAAATCATCATTTGGTTTAAAACTAATGAGGTTGTTATTCAAATCTAAATCTGATTTATCATTTAAGTGTCTGCTATTACCAGATTCCGTATTATTGTACAAGATGCTTGCTGCAATATCAACAATACTTTTAACAGCTGCGGCTTTACTGCTTATATTAAAAATATCGTAACTATTTTTAACAGAAAGCCACTTTACCAAAAAACCATTTTAGAGTCTTTTATATATATATAAAAGACTCTGAAGAAAAACTGAGAAGAAAGATGTTTTCAGACGTTTTAAACTATAGTATAAAACGTCTGAAAACATCTTTCTTCTCAGTTTAATACAACTTATTTATTCTTTTTTAGGTGCTTTTTTACTTAATTCATCTGGAATAAATTTTAATGATAGATCGGTAACATTTAAATTAGCTTTTCCAGTGCAGAGTGTTTAAATGAACAAGTTAATAGGTTGAAATCTTGATATTATACTCGAAAGTAATTTTACTTTGCTTTCATTAAAACCTATATACACTTTTAACTCTTTCAGAATTTAAAAAAAAACATCTTTAAGTTTTAAAAACCTTTCCAGCAATCTAAAATTAGAAAAAGTTACGACAGTTTCTTGAAAGTATTTTTGCAGTAGTTTATCTTTCTTGGTTAGTGATTTTCTGAAATTCTTTCAACTTTCCGAATTTTTTGATATTAAAGAGTTTACTTCTGCGTTTTGTAGAACAAGATGTGTAGTCAACTTCAAAGTTTTCAAGTTCAATTTCCGAATAACCAGAATCAAAATCAACATTAAGTATAACGTTAGCATTCATTTAAACTTTGTTAATCTTTTGTACTAATTATATTAAGTACTTTTATTATTGCTAATTGTAGGCAATGTACGATACATAACTGATGGTTTTTATTAAGTAACTTTACCGTTCTCTTTCTAAAGGCAGCTCCGTCTGGTGTTATGCAGACAATATTTGCCAAAGCTATATTAAACTCTCCTAGCTTGTTTTCAATTAGTTCTGCGCAAACCTCAGCAGATGCAGATCGGTAAACCCGACTCAATCCGAAATTTCAAAAACTACCGTCTTTTCCATAAATAATAGTATTTATATACCAGCGGTTTTTAACTGGGTGCCTTTCTATATGTGGTAAAACCAAACGTTTTTTATTTAGCTTATTCTATAAAATTTTATTTACAACTGATTTCCTTATTTCATTGGCATAATCCATTACTTTTTTTAATGGTTTTGGGCAAATTTGGTATCTCTATGTTTTCAATATGATCTTTGAATCTTTAGATGTACAAAATTTATTGAAAAGAATGTCACCTTTTGCCATCATTTTTAAAAGTACAGCTTAAAGAAACTCGTCAATTTTTTTTTTAAAAAAAAAAGAAGTAATTTTTGATGCCACAGCTATTGCCGGTGCTTTTGAGCTTTTTTACATTTCTTTTTAACACATGTATTTTATGTTGACTCTTTCGATTGCCATGCAAACCACTAGTACTTCCACCCGCTATTTTATTTCTTTTTGAGCATTACGATAAAAAATATTTCAAATTGAACTTTCAAATTTTAAACGAGTCACGTTTTACGCAAAACATTTATTGAAAACCATACTCTAACCTTGAACCTAATAATAATGTATATTTTATTCAAAGCCATATCCTAACCCTAAGAACCATGGTTAGAGTTGGGTTAGGGTATGGGTTTCAACAATATTCGTTTCGTATAAGACTTATTTACAGACTTACTTAAGGGGATATCTGAAATACACGCCGCGTTAAATTCAAACAAAAAAATGCTTTACACTCTTGAGATTTATAATGTTATTGTTACAAGAAAATGTATATAAATAATTTATTCAACTTTAAAAAAGCGTTTTTTTATTGTACCTAATACAAATAATTTTTTGAAACTGATAAATTGTCTGCCCAAATTAAAACTCTCAGTCAATTTAGCAACAGAGGCGTAGCAATAAAGTGGGGGGAGGGGGGGGAATCCTGTAAGGCAATCGCCCCGGCCACCATTCTATCGAGGAGGGGGCACCAAAAAGGAAAAAAACAATAAATTAATAAATTCACTACTCAGATCCAGAGCCAACAACTGCTCAGTGACTAACAGTAACACAGCTGATTAGAGAGCAGCCCCAAGTAACCCCAAGAAAATTAAAAATAATCCTAAACTCAGATCTTCTAAATGTGCTGACGTCTTTGAAAGTAGCCATGTTTTATTTTTACCATTTTATTTATTTTTTATTTTTCTCAAAACATAAATAAACAGTGGTCAAACGGTTCATTTAATTCTTAACGGGAAAAAAACTGACAAATTCTGAATTACAACGGTTTTACACATGACGTTATTCTGTTTGTATTTTTAGAGTGGTCAGACAAACACTGTTTTTCTAAAATTTAAATAGCTACAAATAAATCAAAAAGGAAAGAACATTGTTTTCAAAAAATGTGACAAATTTTAAGACACTAATTTTTTATTTATATTTCAGCTGATATTTCATTTATCGAAATGACCGTTAAGGTATTTTTTCTGAAATTTTGAACTTTTAAGAGAAAAATGCTCGAACCTGAAC